GACAGCACGAGAGCTCATGCCACACGCAGCGCTCTCATGCTCGCCCATGGCAGCGTGGCACTGCGTGCCTCCAAGGAACAGCTGCTTGCCCACCTGGAGGGAGGCATCGTGGGCAACATCCTGATGCTCTACAGCTGCAGCTGCCGGGTGAGAGCTCAAAGCATGCCAGGGTGTCAGAGCGCCCAGCTGCAGCCCCTCCACGTGGGGGGATGCTGAGATGGGCCTTCCCTTTCCAAAGGTCCCTTGGGGAAGGGTTTGTGTCCACATGAAGATCCAAGCCCTTCCCTTAGCGTTGTCCCCACGTGTGTCCCCCTTGCAGCCCTTGTCCCTTCCCGCAGTTCAAAGAATGTTCTTCTCTCTTGCTCCTCAGGACTTGCAGAACAACCTCGCGCTGCTGCAGAGCATCACCGACTGCAGCACTGCCTTCCAAGCTGTGGGTGATTCTGCAAGCTTTAACCGCTCCTTGAAGAGCAAGCTGCTGGAGATCCTGATGGTGAGTGCCTAGAGACAGGGCTGTCTGCAGAGGAGTTCTGGGCTGCGCCACAAGGCTCGCTTCCCTGGGGGCATGCAGGTGTCCAGCAGCCACACGTCTCCAGCTGGTGGGGACCTTGGGTACTGGCAGGCAGCAGCTGGGCAGCGGGCTAGGTGCACCAGCTGTCAAGCTGCTGCATTCTGCAGTGCTTCCATGGGAAAGTGATGGGGCTGGTTTGTGGCAGTTGTGCCTGTCTCGGGGCTGGGTGGAACAGCTCTCGTGTGCCCCTTGCCCACTTGGACACTGTCTCTCTGGGACTTGCAGGACCTGATGAAGAAGTATTACTCGGGCATCCCTGTCTCCCCAGTGCCTCTCAAGGTGGTTCTGGCCCTGGAGCAGTTGAGGTAAGGACTGAGGTTGCAAGGCAGGATAGTGGTCCCCGTTTTGGGTAGCTCCTGAGGGCCCGGAGGGGGCAGGGAGGGAGGAGCCACATCCACAGGGGAGACGGCTGGGCTGTTGTGCCCAGTGAAGTTGAGGTTTGGGGCAGGGAGAAAGGCCCTGGTCCTCCTGTCCCCTGACAGGGAAGAGATGGGAGAGCTGGGGTCTCCTTCCCTCCAGAGCAGGAGGTGGTTCACTGCTGCTGGGGAGGAGGTGGGTGCTGCTGGAACTGAAGACAGTGCTCAGCAGCATGAGCTGGGGGTATTGGCTTGGTAGCTGTTGATTAGGAGAAATTCAGAGGTTGCCTGAACCAGTCTGGAGAGCACTGGTAAGGGCCCTTTCTGATTTCTCTTCCTGTTTTCCTCCTCTCAGCAAGCTGAAGCCCTCTTTCGAAAGCAAGGATATGCGTGAGATGTTGGTCCTGTGCTGCAAGAACATCGTGACACATCCTTCAGCAGAGATGATGCTGAAGATCAGGAAGTCACAGCAAGCAGCACAGTACCTGCAGGTAACCTGCTGTAACTTTCCCGGCCACCTCTCGCTCGGAACCCTACCTCAGCACACACAACCTCTGCTCTGGCAGCAGCCGTGATGCTACACGTCACTCCCCTCTTCTGCTTTCAGCTTCAGCAAACATCACTGAAAGCTCTGGGCCGGCT